ATATATTTTGCAGCACAAACTGTCCTCGAACTGTAATTTTTGGTTTTACTATGGGAAGCACTCCGGTTGCTCGGACCAGCGGGGCACAATTGCTTTCACTGATGGGGAGGTATATTACCATGACTATATATGTTTTATGGTCAAATTTGCTGTATTTTAATTCATAAAGAGGAACTCCTTGTCTCTGATACTCAGACAGTTCTCATGTCAATTTCTTTGTCTGCAGCCTAAACAAGGGTCATTCAGGTAAAATTCCAGCGCTTTGCTACTAAGTTTGCTCTGATCTTTTCCTATAAAAGAACAGCTTTAGTTCAACTTAATACAGTCTGGTAGTATAGCTCTACTTGTCAATTTCTACTATTGAAATTTGAAAAGAAGACTTACTTAGAAAAGTGAGCTTTATAAATGTATAGACACAATTCTGTGCAACTTGGTACTCAACTAATTTTTCATGTTTCATAATGCCCTATGTCCAGATATTTTGATTTACTATAATGGAGACATCTGCTTCAAAATGAGTTACATTACACGTCAGGTAGTCTGTAGCACTGTCTGTGACATCTAACATTAAAAATTCGTCTAGGAGAGAAAATTTCTTTTAACATTCAACATGGATTGTGAGATGCAGGCTTCAGCAGAAGCTAACATTGAATCAATTTCAATGATCAGATTGGCAACACGAGATGCTTCAACCTTGGAGGAGACCAATAAAATACACTGGAAATTGGCTCCAAGCGATTGAACAACTTCATCTTCTGTAGGTATGAGTGTGAAATCTCTGATTAAACACGCCAGTTTACTACTTTTTTGGAACATTCTTAAGCATGAAAGTCTAGCATACAACAATAGTTGATATTTAAATTTCATAGTTTCTTCAGTAGGTAATTAATATGTAGAGGAACTGGCCTTAACTAGCTAGCCTAAGAGTTCACCACCCAAGCCTAAACTCCTAGGTTGGGAGTTCAACTCCTGCCTATGGCTTGGAAACCTACAATTTTTGATGTTTCTAAAAATTAATAATAACATGTAGGGATAATGATATTGCTCACTTCTTGATGCAATTGCCATTGGCTTAGTTCAAGGAAAAGAAAAGAGCTCGGAGAAACAATCCTATCAGATGGATGCAGGCAAATGGAGAAGACACGAGCATGTTTTTCTTCCCAAATATGCCTAGGTATGCCAAGCTCTTCAACCAATCAACCTCATAGTAATTTTAACATTGGAAAATTGATGTTTGGTTTAACTGATAAGTTTAATTAACATGGAACAAAAAATTGTAGAATAATTAACTAATCTCATGGAAATTAATTGGAATATGTTTGTTAATCTTGGATTTTGAGAGTTAAAAACAATAGAATAAGAGTTAGAAGCAGTATCATTAACAGCATTGGCTATTTCAAAAGATTATTATGTTCATGATGAATCAACTGTCATTACAAAATAAGAATCTGTGAAAACCTGGTTATTATAGCATTCATCCTGAGAAGAAAATTGGAATGATCTAAGCTTCATAAACTTTGCATTCTTCATCAGCAGGGTTTGTCTTGCAGAAATCCTCCAAGGGATCACCACTTCCTACAGCAGGCATTCCAGGCCACTTGCTTGCCACAAGATGTGCCAAGTCAACGACCCTTTGGTTGCAATTACCCATCATGTTACTGACTAGTAAGGCACAAATATGGTTGTAGTTAGAAACAGGGAAGTTTTTTGGGAATGTATCCTAACCTGTATCCTCATTCATTGTCATACCAGGCCACCACCTTAACCATGTCGTCTCCCATTACCATGGTTAGTGAAGAGTCAATGGTAGAAGAAACATCACTGCACCTAAAATCCACTGACACAAGAGGAACATCACAGACGGCCAATATGCCCTTCAATGACCCTTCAGCTGCTTTTCTAAAGGCAGCATTGACATCCTCAGCTGTAATCCCCTTCTTCTCAACATTCACAACAAGGTCAACCACTGAAACATTTGGTGTTGGTACACGGAGTGCAATACCATTGAGCTTGCCCTTGAGCTGGGGTAGTACAAGAGAGACAGCCTTGGCTGCACCGGTACTTGTTGGGACTATGTTCAATGCTGCGGCCCTAGCTCTCCTCAAGTCACGGTGTGAAGCATCCAAGAGTCTCTACACAATCACAAGCAACAATTTAGCCTTCTTTGTTCAAATAAATCTCCAACTTTTGCTGTTGGAATTTATTTAGAATTCAAAAATCTTTGAATTAGCTTAAGCTTTACATCCAAGTAGTATTTTGGTCAGTGAAAGGACCTGGTCTCCAGTGTATGAATGGATGGTTGTCATTGTTATCTTGACAATTCCTGTATATCAGTTTCAATGAAGTCAAAGAAAATTCATAACTGTGGTCGTATGAAATTTGCCTGAACCGAATAAGTCCACATCTGAGTGAATGATGAAGAAGTGCTTACCCAATTCTTCATCCATGACTTTTACAAAAGGAGCCAAACAGTTTGTGGTGCAAGAGGCATTGCTGCAATTACCAAAATTGATCCACTAAGAAATTACAGCATCAAGAACTGGAAAAAAAATTTCCATACTGCTTTATGAGCAATCATTTCTTTGGAGATACTAACTTTATGATGCTTGAGACCTCATGAGAGTAATCACCTTCGTTGACTCCAACAACATAAGTTGGAATGTCTGCACCTTTTGCGGGAGCAGTGATGATAACTTTCTTAGCACCGGCTTGGATGTGCTTCCCAGCTCCAGGACCATCCACAAAAACTCCAGTTCCTTGAAGAATGCGTATGAACTTATCCAGTCATCTAAAAAGACTCCTAAAATTTTGTCATTAATTAATTTTCCATCTCTTTGCATAGTTCAGTAATCCAGTAGAGTTGTTGAAAAAATTGCTAATATGAAACTGGAACCCACAGTGTTTGTGCTGGTGAAAGAAATTATGCTTTAGAGATTTTAAATGTAATTTGAATAAATTTTTAAAGTAAAATTAATTTAAAATTAAATTATTATTTCAAATTATAGAGTGATCTTAAATTAGAATCAAATCAAATCAATTTTATAAATCAAATAAATGACTACTTTAGATAATGAAATCAATTTAAAAATAAAAACTAATCTCAATCAATTTTAGAAATATAAAATAAATACAAAAAAATTTATAATTAATATGATATCAATGTTTTAGATGGCTAATAAAGGAATATATATTATATATTTTAATAAATTTAATTAATGAAATTAATTTCAAATCAATAAATTTTAAAAATTTTCTCTCTCTATATTAATAATTTCTTTTTATTATCTTTTTATCTCACTTATCTGTCGTTATATATATTTTAATAAGCCAAATCTTTCTTTCTATATTAATTATTTCACAAAGTAAAAGGATGAATAAGTTGATGAAATTAAGGGCCAAACATAAAATTATGAATATAAGGACTGAAGTCTAAAAATTTTTTAAAATTGAGACTAATACTATAATTTTACCATAAAAATTTACACTATAATTATGAATCTGACAGCTCTTCTCGCTTCTTTTTCTTTTCCCATTTTTCATTTTTCCTTTGTTCGTGATCAAGATAATTGTAAACCTAAAGTTTTATAATTGGAACGATATTAAGGAAATGCCAATTTCTATAATAAGAAAGTAAGAATAAAATTAATAAAAAA